TTATTAATAAAAATAAAAACAATCAATTATCTGATGGCATCTATAAAATGATGGCATATTACCCAGAGCCACTTGGGCAGGAGCCCTACCAGCTCAGGCAGCCAAGACAGGCTGCCCACATCCAACAGGTGCAGTAAGGGATTCTCAGCAAACACTTTGGAATCCCCATCCCAGGTGCTCTTGGTTTCTTCCATTGTAAGGCTCACTGGGAGTGGATCAGAAAGCTGTTCTCTCAGATTGAACAAATCTACTCCAGGTGGTTGAAATCGCCTTTCATCTGACAACGCAAAGACAAGAGCCTCGCGCTCAACAAAGCTGACCTGTTAGTGTATGTTGTCTTGATTTGCTTCAGAGAGGGTGGAGCTGCACAGTTCAGCAGCCAGGAGATAGAGGTTGAGAGAGCCTCAGTTTCTCCATCTGTCCCGTGGGTTAAGAGGCAATGAGGAGAGGAGGAGGATTATGGATCAGCAAGCACTTATTTAGCACCTGCTAGTGCCAGGCTCTGTGGTCACCCTCTAGAATTTCATAATGTAAGCATGTGGCACCAATTCATTTGCCCCTCTGTGTGCAGCCCACCATGGGGTCAGTGTGCAAAACACCCTCATCTTCACCATGCTTTCCCTTAGCTCTTTTGTCTCAGATAACCTTGGACAGATCCAGTACCCTCATGAGGTCAAATTCTTTAACAAACACATAATCCATAGATTTAGAGCTGGAAAGAACCTGAGAATCCACCTAATCCAGCTACCCTCCCAGTACTCCAGAGGAGGGAAACTGAGGCCCAGAGGGATGCAGTGACTAGTCCAACATCATGCATGGGATCCTAGATTTAAAACTGGAAGGGCCCTTGGGGTCATCTAGTCCAATCCCCTCACTTTACACATGGGAAAACAGAGGTTCAAGAACTTCCCTAAGGTCATGAGTAGAAATGAGAAAAGCTGGGATCTGAACCCAGCTTCTCTAACTCTTAATCTAGCATTCTCTCCATTATACTTTGCTGCCTTTATTTCTAGTTCATCAAATTAAACAATGCCTTTTCATAGGATTCTTAAGATCAAGCTTTCCTGTAAAGAGGTAGGAAAGCCAAATAGCATATGAGGCTTTTTGTCATTTTCTTTTGGTCCGTGGTTTCATCAGTATGGAACATGTGGAACTTCCAGTGTGGTAACTGCCTCCACCAATATAGAGCAGCAATTAGTCCATGATTTGTCATCCTAAGAGTTGTCAGGTGAACTTGCCCAGATGAACAGCTAGTATATATCAGAGGCAGATTTGAATTTGAATTCTGGTCCCCCTAGCTCTAAAGTTGACACACTATATACTATGTCAGTCTACCACCCAAGTGTGTTTGCTAATCTCCTGTCTTTATTCCAGATGCTTACCTACTCCCACAGAATATATGATCGTAATCACAGCCATGAAACATTTTGGGACCTTATACAGCTCCTTCTATCTCTCTTCTGTTCTCATGCTCATTTTCTATGCTAGTTATTGGTGCATGTGATTTGTTCCCCCTAATAGACAATCAACTCCTGGAGGGAAGGGGCTGTATCTTGTAAGAATGCTAAGAGCTCACATTTCTATGGAGTTTTAAGTTTTACAATTCATTTTGCCTCATAACAACCCAGCAAAGTACAGGGGTGGGGAACCTGTGGCCTCAAAGCCACATGAATCCAGATTCAGTCAAAGGGCCACACTTGAGGACCTAGAGGGCCACATGTAGCCTTGAGGCCACAGGTTCCCCACCCCTGATAGTTCAACCCCCTAATTCTACAAAGGGGAAAAATGAGGCAAAGGGAGGAGGAAGGAATTTCAACGGTGTCACGTGGCTAGTTAACTGCAGAACTGAGACTGGAACCCCAGCCTCTAGATGCATCATCTAGGGATCTTTCTACTGCACATTGGTACCCAAACAGAATCTGGAAGCCCATCTATCAGGGATGTTGCCAGAGAGAGATGCCCATGCTGTGCTAAATGATCTCAGGTCCTTGCCGATGTTAAAAATTCAGTATTGAATTTTATGGGGAAGAAGTCAAATTTCTTTGGAAGCAGAATGAAACCATGGCTCACGGTCCTGAATTTCAATGCCTCCTCTCAAGTCACGCTACTCATGTGACCCTGGGCAAGTTAACTTTACCTCTTAGGGCTGCAGTCTCTTCCTCTATAAGATGAGGACTTTGGTTAAATGGCCCCTGGGAGGTCACATAGGTAGTAAGTGAGTGTCAGAGGCAGATGAGAACCCAGATCCTCCCTCTCCAGAGCCAGAACCCTCTCTACTGTACCACACTAAGTCTATAATTCCAGATTCTGGACGTGTGACTCACTCAGGAAAGATTTTTAAACATTTCCATCTCTTCCTTTCTATGCCCATTCTTTCACCTGTATATTCCCAGTAAAGCTGAACAGATACCCCGGGCCTAAGGGAAAATGGAAAAAAGAGAAATAAATATGTGCGGCTGGCTAATATGGAGCAAAAATGAACATTTCAGAGTTGGGTAATTGACTCTGATCTGTGATTTTGAGCTCTGGTACTGAAATTGCTCATTTGGAAATTACCCAGTACTTGGGTCTCATTTGTGATGTGTATCCCTGCATGCCCAGCATACAATCACAACATGAGGGCCATTTGAGTCACCACTATGCTGCCATCTCCTCAAGTAGGCACTCCAATTGTTGGGCCCATTGTCTTTGGATCAAGAGTCAGTATTGTCAACCAGAGCCTCCCTGTGGTACAGAGTGAGGCCCAGAGAGCTGGCCAGAAACCTCTTTTCGAAGAGCAATGATCTCCTCCCTCCACTCTCATCCTTGGGGGCTGAGGAACTTGTTCAGCTTTCAGGTTGAGGAATCTGAAGCACCTCCCCCCCACCAACTCCCACTAGACACACACGAAGTTAGTGAGAGGAGGCTACTTTAAATGTTGAAGCAAGAAGGGCCCTTAGAACAGAGAAGATCAGAGCTAGACCTTAGAACACAGAATGTCAAAGTTAGAAGAGACCTTACAACACAAAACATCAGAACTAGAAAGGACCTTAGAGAGGGCAGCTAGGTGGCACAGTGGATAGAGTACCAGCCCTGGAATCAGGAGGACCTGAGTTCAAATCTGGCCTCAGATACATAATACTTACTAGCTGTGTGACCCTGGGCAAGTCACTTAACCCCATTGCCTAGCCAAAAAATAAATTAATTAATTAAAATTTAAATTTAAAAAAATTAGAAAGGACCTTAGAACACAGGACATAGAATGTTGGAGCTGATAGGGACCTTAGAACAGAGAAAGTTACAATAAGGATCTTAGAACATGCAACATAAAATGTTAGAACTGGAGAGGGATGACCTTAGAACACAGAAAAGAGAATGTCAGAGCTAGTAGGAATCTTAGAGCAGAGAATGTTAGAGATATAGAACATAAACTGAGCTGCAATGTCCCTTAGAACATGCAACACAAAATGTCTGGGCTATAAGGGACCTTAGAACATAGAATATTGGAGCTGAAAGTGAACTTTAAACACAGGCTGAACTGGATGGGACCTTAAAACATAAAATGTCAGAGCTGAAAGGGACCTTAGAACATCAAATACAGACTGTCAGAGCTAAAATGGCTCATAGAGCACAGAATAGAGAATGTCAGAGCTGAGAGAGACTTTACAACATAGAACATAGACTGGCAGAGTTGGCAGGGCAGAGAACATACAACATAGTATGTCCGAGCTAAAGGAGTCCTTATCTGTCTCATTCAATCCCTTTTAGCAGTTTAATGATTTGGTATTTTATTAGTATCTTGATACATAATAACTTCATGCCAGAAATAAAAATATTTATGGGACTTAATTCTTGACCTCAAAAGGACAGAAAACTATTCCCACCTACCTTAGACCACCCAAAACTCTTCACTTTTTCATTCCATCCTGGGTAGATCTAGAATACTGAAGAGTAGAGTTGCAAGTAGTTATTGGGCCTTGACAAACTAGATATAAATTAACTCAAAATCAATAAAGAATTCCCAGTACATGGAAGTGAGAAGAGACAGTAACAAAGCGGGTGACTTAATATCAATCAATGAATCAATTCTGGTCGTAGACTATTTGTTTTAGATTTATAGTATGTGTTTTGTGTCTCTGTGTGTATAGGTGCCATGATCTGACCTTCTATGCAGAACCATGGAGTAATGGGGTTAACAATGGTTATTTTCAGTGGTTTAAAGAGAACTTGTTCATGATGAGGCCATGTCTAGAACCTCAGCAATACAGGCCAATGAAAAGTGTATAATTTAAGCAGAATCAGGGTATGCAAGACTGCCTACATTGACTAGACAATTAGATCATTTCATCGGTTTAGGAATAATAACTTAAAAATGAAAACAAGTCTTTAATAAGTAACTTTGAATATCAGTAAAATAAAACATAGTTCTCTTTATAGCATATATGTATATATAATGTCAGTGTTTTGGCTGTCATGAATTAAAAGCCCTTTATCATAAAATATATGATTTTTAAACTTTATTCAAAGTAAATTTATAATCCTTCAGACCTCCCATACAAAACAAAAAATGTAGGAAAAAGAGCAAATACTGAACTATATGAATACTTTTATCATTCCTAGTTTGTAGTTTATAGAAGTGATACACATACCTAATGTGTGTCTATTCCTCAACTTATTAGTTGCAATGTACACTGCAATAAAATATGAAAATATATGCCTGGTAAACATTCATTCATATATACAAGATGGCAGCTAATGCTCTCTAACTAACCAAACTTGTCAACTTAAAAACAAGATGGAAGTGCTTTTGCCTGGATTATTCAAGAATAGGATGGCGACCATGCCTAGTGTCCAGAGTTTTTCAGCAGGCCCACAAATGGATTCAATGGCCTGTCTGTCTCTGAAGATGATGATTCCCTGCCAAAGATTCCTAAAGTTCAGTGAATGGTTGACATGTCTACAAATGCCTAAATAAGAAGCGTTTTCAATTAAATAATTACCATATTTTTTTTCTCCTCTAGGATTCTCAATCCTCCAGGCAATTATGGAGGCTGCCGTGCAAAACAATTGGCAAGTGACAGCCAGGTCTGTGGGAAGCATCAAGGATGTGCAGGAATTCCGGCGAATCATTGAGGAAATGGACAGGCGTCAGGAGAAACGATACTTGATTGACTGTGAGGTCGAGAGGATCAACACGATTCTGGAACAGGTACAACAGTGTGCAGCCAATCCCCCAGACCATCCCACTAAAACATTTCCCACATCTGCAAAGAAATGGCATGGCCTATTCAATGATTCAAATGACCCAATGGGCCCATGGATGGCGATTTTCTTCTGAACCTTACCACCTCACTCTACTCCCACCAGCCTCCTGCCCCACAATGTGAAGTCTGTTGGCAATAGCAGACTCTGGATCAATGCCCCTTCAGCCAGAGACATACCCATGGTTCATGGATAGCTGACCTATCCAAAGTGATCAGTGCATTTCTCTTCCAGACGTACTTTGCTATAGAGGGTGCTGTCATACTCAGGGGAATTAAGGAGAGAAAAAGAAATGATCATTTAATTCACTTAGGGTGAACTGAAGTGAGGTGAGAGGAGGTGAAGTGAATTTGTCTCCAGAGCATGGCCCCAGGACTATGAATTCATTGATCTCTCAAAGCATTCCTTGTCCCAGTCTGACTTCTGGTGGGAATGAGTGGTTAACTTTTCCTCTATTGCATCCATCTATCACAACTTTTCCTTTGATGCATCTGTTGCATCATGTGTTCTCACCAAAGTGACCTACTAGCTGTTCCCTAAACTTAGAATTCCATCTTCAGCCTCCATGCCCTTGCACAGTCTTCCCCTCATGCCTGGAATGCTCCCTTTTCTCACCTTTACCACAAGGTTGAGCTCAGGTACCACCTTCTACAAAAGCCTTTTTGTATGAAATTCCCCCCTTTTCATGGTGTTCTCCTCCCCCTGAAATCACTTTGTATTTATTTTGTACTGACTTTATATTTCATTTTCTCTGGGCATGGAGGAGCAGTACCCCTCCCCTTCTCCTGCTCTCCCCCGTCCCATGCCATAGAACATAAGCCCTTAAGGTCAGGGATTACATCTTCTTTGTCTTTGGATCTCCATACAGTAGGAGCTTAATAAATGCTTCTTAGATTGAATTGAGTCGAGAAGTCGAATTGAAACTTGGGATTTGGCATAGTAGCATCATATTTCTAATATGTTGTGGAGTTTGTTTTTTCCTTGGAATTGCCAAAACAATTTCTAAAATAAGAAGGTGTCATAAAATAAGAAAGGAAAATAGCCACTCAGAATTCCATAATACTTTAACGTTTACAAAGCACTTTCCTCATGACAAGCCGTTTGATTGCTGAGTGTCTGTTTCCTTGCCTTGCAGATGAGGGGGCTGGATTAAATGGCTTCTGAGGTCCTGGCCAGCTCTCTACGATCCTATGATTTTACATAGGAGGAAACTGAGGCTCATAGAGGGGAAATGACTGACCCGAGGTCACATAGCCAGACAGTATCTGAAGCAAGATTTGAACCCAGGCTTCCTGACTCCTGTCTGGATCTCAGACAGTATTCAAGGCTCCAAGTGTGAGTTAAGTGGTAGTGAATGATGAAGTCAAAGCTGCCCTTCAAAGGACCCTGCAGATTCTGTGCATTAATTCTGAAACCCGGGCGAGCATTCCAGGGAATCTGTGCCCAGAGAGCAGGCCAATAAGCCTCCCTTCACACACCAAACAGACGATTACAGTTCAGAATGAAAAGTCCAATTGAACTGTGCTGAAACTGCTTGCTCCCCCAGCTCTGAATACACTGTCTGTCCATCCTGCCAGGGCCACAACTGGAAGGGACACATTCCCACCGCAGTTCCGTTCCCCAGGCCCAGCCGTTCCAATGGGCTCCAGGCCCCGGAGCCTGGTGGAGTGTGAGCAGTCCCTGGGAGAGCAGTTGGATAACCATTGCCAGAAGACCTGGAAAGTGGGGGATGAGGATGGGACTCTGCAATGTGGAGCTCGCTAGTTGTCCCTTTGCTAGAAGATGGCTCCCTCCACCTATGAATGAAATGACTGCAGTCAGGCTAGCAGGTGGCCCTGATTATGCCAAGTGGCCCATCTTCTGAGGCACAGGCATTACCTGCACCCCCAGACTGAAGATCAGAGGCTCTAGAGCTGAAAGAGCATTGAGTCTGCAGCCAGAAGACCTGGGTTCAAATTTTACCTCTGACATTTACTACTTGTAGGGACTCTAGGCCACAGTTTCCTCTTCTATGGAATGAGGAGGTTGGACTAGCTGGCCTCTGAGGTTCTTTCATCTAAGATCTTATGTATGATTTGGGGTAAGTCCTTTCCCCTCTCTGGACCTCAGTTTCCTCCTCTGTAAAATGAGGGGGTTAGACTAGAGGCCATAGAGGATGGAGTCAGAAAGGCCTCAGTTTGAATGCAGCCTCAGACACATACTATCTATGTGACTAGGGGCACGTTTCTTAAGCTCCCTCAGCCTCAGTTTCCTCATCTGCAAAATGAGGGGAATAATAGCGTTTATCCCGATAAAGCACTATTTAAATGACAACTGTCATTACCTTATCCTATGACATAAAGATTCCCTTCCCCCTCCAGTCCCAGAAAGGTTCAATGACCTGCTTGAAGTCACACAGTGAATTAATGGCAGAGATGGGCCTCAGGCCCAAATCTCCAGGCTTCTAGGCCAATACTCCTGCTCCATCTCACTGCTACATCTTTTTTTATTTCTTTAAATCCACTCAGACTATAAACTCCCTAAGGGCTGGGACCCTGTCTTAGCTAAACCTTGTAATTCTCCCAGTGCCTAGCACCAAGCTCTGCCCTTGATCCATGTAGATTCAATTCAATTCAATTCAATTAGGTCTAGAAAGGGAAGAATCAGGTCAGCGATGTCAGTGCCTGGCCTCCATGCCCTGGAACAGGCACATACCCAAATAAAGCCAAAGCCTTTTAGTGGGTGACCTATTTCATAGCCAGGCACCCCCAGGCACAACCATGCTCCTTGTCACACCTTGCCTTTTCCCTTTTAAGTAACCACTTCAAAGGAGCTCAAGTCACTCAACTGGGTTTCAGAAGTCTTTCCAGTTTTATAAGGCCTCGTGTTGGATGTTTCTGAGTTGCCAGTAAAATGTGGTTTTAAAAAGAAAATGAAAGAAATGAACATCGGATGAGATCTGGTCTCTACTCTTAACTCTGCTGCTAGCTATATGCATGACCTCACAGAAATTGCAACCTCACTGAGCCTCAGTTTCCTCCTCAAAAAATGGGATCAATACATGCTCAAGGATGTCATGAAGATCAAATGTGAGAATGTATGTGTGCCCTTGGGCAAATCACTTCCCCTCTCTGGGCCTCAGTTTCCTTCTCCATTAAATGAAAGGATTGGATGAAATACCTTCTAAGGTTCCATCCATCTCAGAAGCTATGATCCTATGATCTTATGTAAAGAGTACTTTTTTTAAATCTCCAAAGGTTAGAGCAAAAATGTAAGGTGTTGGTATTATTACACAGTTTTGGGGGAGCAGTATTATCAGCACTATTCAGAAACGTTCTTTGTTCAATCCTGTATGCTCCACCATCTTGCCCCTCCCTGTACACAAACACTTCGTTCTATTTTCCACATGATTTTTCAGGGAGCACTAGTCATAGAAACATTACGTTATAAAGGTTGGGAATCAGAATTGGTTTTATTCATCCACCCTTCTAAAAGGCCTCTTGGGTACAGCAAAATTCAATCACCTCATGACTTTTATTTTGTAGCTTGTTTTTGCACATAAGGGGTTCATTTCCTAGTATTCAACAAACTGTGGTTTGGGTACACTGTCACCAGGTAGCTAATAGGCTGCTACATAGAGCCATGTGGTCTGTTGAAATGCATGTTTTCCCTGAGATTCAAGATGGTGGTTCTGTGCTCAAGCCCACCCCAATTTACCAAAATTCCACATTTTATTTATACCAAAAGGAGATTTCTATTAAAATAACTACACTTCTGACACTTTAAACAACTGCTTATGCTTTCAGTCACCCAGGTTTGCAACCTAGAGTCATCTTTGCCTTTTTCTTCTCTCTCCTCCCTAGCTCATACCCATTCAGCATCCAAATCTCATCAATTCTTCTTCCACAACCTTTCTCCACTCTGAAAGCTACTACCCTACTTCAGGCCTTCCTCACCTCCCACCTAAGACTATTGTAATAGCTTCCTAATTGATTCCCTGCTCCTGTCTACAGCTGCCAAAATAATCTTCCTAAAGCACAGGTCTGACCACGTTACTCCCTCAAGAATCTTTGGGGATTCCCTATTGACTCTCAGATCAAATATCAATTTATCACCTTGGCATCGAATGCCCATTGCAGTAATCAGTACTGAAAGACTTCTCTGTGATCACAGTATCCTAGCCGTCCATCTCTTCCTCTTTCTCACCCCCTTCTAAACTTAGCTTTCATTTTTGCCATGCCTGCTAAGTCTTTCCATTTCTCTCTCATGTCCCAATCATTCAACTCTACTCTGGCCTCACTTTCTTCCCTTCATAGACTTGACTCTATGGTTGGTCAGTTGAACTCTACACTATCCTGTACCCTTCTGAGTCTTACTCCGCTCTACCCTGGTCAGACCACATGCAGAATATTGGGTTCAGTTCTAGATGCCACAATTTAAAAGGGACAATGATACAATAGAAAGTATCCAGAGGAAGGTGACAAGAAGAGTGAAAAGTCTTGAGTCCATGCCGAATGAAGATCAGTTAAAGGAACTAGATATATTTGCCTGCAGAAAAGACTCAAGGGAAACAATATAGCTTTACTTGAAGGTTATCCTGTGGAAGAGGGATTCAACTTCTTCTGTTTGAACCCAGAAGACAGAACCAGTAGCAATGATGAGATTGCAGGGAGGTGATTTAGGCTTGGTGTCCAAAATATTTACTGACAATTAGAGCTGTACAAAAGTAGAAAAGGGTTGTCTAGGGAGGTCGTGAGTTCCCCCTCTCTGGAGGTCTTCAAGCAAACGTTGGATGACCACTTGTTGGGGCTGTTGTAGAGGGGATTCACATTCAGGTTGGATTAGATAGCTACTGAGGTCCCTTCTAACTGATATGGTGGAAAGAATGCTATCTTTGGAGTTAGAGGACCCAGGTTCAAATCCCACTTCTGATAATTCCTACCTGTGTGACCTTGAGAAAGTCACTTC